ATCCAAAATAAGAGGCAACGTAAAAGATGGTGTCTCATACACCATAGTTACACCTCTGGTGCTTTCTCGATCGGACTCGCTCCTGTAAAAATATTAACCACGGGGAATGAGACTTAAAAGTCCCAGTAACCAAAAATTAATATGTAATGATACATGCGGATGTAACTAATCATGCAATTGCTAAGTGGGCACACAAAAACATTTAATCGAATATTTTCAAACAAACCGAACAAGTATTTAATTGCATGACTGCACCTTATATCCTCCTTTCGCCATGCTCAGACGCCAAATCACCTGGCCAAAGGTGAGTTGGACCAAGCGACACGCCACTCATTGGGTCCAATGAGGGCTTACCATGTGGTAATAATTAACCGAACAGAAATTCCATTAACACCATACATTAAAATACCCTGACAAGTCATGCACCATTCAAATATCCAAACAAAATATATCGAACAATAATATTCATCATGATAAATAAAAATAAAATTTTTGACCCACTTGATAATGATTTCAAACAAGTATATAACAATATTTATTTTTAATAATTCATAATTTTTCAAATAACAAAACAACACATACCCATTCACAAACACACCCATCACAACACATTAATAATGGTTACCTTGTGTCTTGAATAATAACTTCCCCTTCACAACTCCTCTTTCACCACTATCTTTGTCAACACAATCTACATAGTTATTTCATAATACTATATATTAATTTTACATTAAAATAAATAACTCTAATTTAAAGAGTTAAAAAGTCTTAGATTTATAATCCATATTAACGCTAATTTAAGATTTATGCCTCATTTAACTTTCCAAATTCTTTTCTAAAATTCTCGTACCTAATAAACTATTTTTAAGCCTCAAATCACTTCTAGTATCACAATTTCATCCTTCTATATTCTAAAATTTCATCCAAAAATAAATTAAAAATTTTAGAATTATCCTGAAGCCTCAAATCACCTTTCTATAACATCAAAAATACTTATTCATATTTAAGTAAATATTTAATAATCAGAGGTTCATCCCTACATCTCAGATTCAACATAAATTTAACCATATAGATCTAGAGTTTAACTCAAAAATTCTTAAACATGAGTTTCAACCTCAAGAAAATATTTTATAATATTTATTATATCCTTAAGAGCTTTAACCTATATTTTTTATCCATCGTATCATTAGATTAACTATCCTATAAAAAAATTCTAATCAGAATATTTACTCTATTCTACAAAATAATTATATCACTAGAAAGCTAATATTATTTAGAAAATAACTATAAAATTAATTTTGTACTTAAATAATTTTTTAAATGTTAATCTAAACAGGAAAATTGAGACATACCTGAAGAAAAAGAAAATAATCTCCTCTTGCATGAAAACGTCGAGCACCATGAGAGAAAGAGAGAAAAATAATATAAAAATAGATTGTGGGTCCCAAAATTATATTAAAAAAATTATAGGTTTGAATTTAATTATTCAAACCTTTGAGCCATTACTTGCATTTTTCACAAATTGCATCTTGGGCCTTAGTTGCAATTTTTATAAATTGCATAGACTTTCCTTGCCTCTCCCCTATGCACGCAATTGCCTCCTTTTATAGTTGAGGAAATTTTTCCTCTTTCCACATCTAACCGATGTGGGACTAACTCCCACCTCTTTTTTTTTTTTGCTTCATCCATTTTTTTTACTCATACACACATAAAAAAAAAATATTTATATATTTTAAATCTTAAAAATTATATCTTAACTAAACATTTCTTATGAAATTTTAAACCTATATTTTTAATTTATAATTAAATGCATAACCATATTATTATTTTCAAATAACCTCAAATAATATAAATTCCTATTATTATCATCATTTTTTTAATAAAACTTAAATTCCATAAAAAATTTTTATCTAAAAATTATGATGTTATACTTTGCTTTGTGTCACATGTCATAGCACATGACACCTTTTTGAGAAGAATGTTTTATTGTTTATCTTGTTTGTTGGGCATGTGTTTACGTTTCCATTAACCTTATTATTTGAACATACTTTCTACAAAATTGGGATCTTGCATTGTAAATATAAATTAAGGGCTATAATTTTGATATTGTATTATTGTTATGGGGTAGAGTGTGTATGGATTGATAAAGTCCTGATGATATGGGCGACTTTATAGTCACAATTTTGAAAAATGAAAATTTCAACCCTTTTCACCCTTATTTCCTAATAAAAGGGTATTCCATGCTTCTTAGTACTTTTAAAGCTCTAATTTGAATACATGTAGGCCTTGTTATGCTTTGAATTGTTTATTGACTCAGGATCTTAGTGATTTTTTTAAATTGTGCTCAATTATAATGGGCTTAAATATAGTAACTATTAAAATAGTTTTAATCCTGTCGACTATGGTAGAATCTATTCTATCGTAATTGGGTTTATTTTATTGTTTATTGTTTCAAGTTATTAAATTTAGATGTTTAATCTAGTCAATTATAGTAAACTTTTGACCTAAGTCTTTTCCTTTTCTACTATAGTTAGCTCTTTTTTAATTGTGATTAACTTCTTTCTATCATGGTAAGATGAATAGGATGATTAATCCCTAATTACAATGGTAGTGCGCAGTGTTATAGTTATGTCTGTGGAGTTAATTAGGCAATGTGGCAGAGTCACTCATAGTGTTCTCTCTCTCGATCTTTGATTCTTGTCCTTTCCTCTATCACTATCTTTTCTGGTGACCTTGCCTCTCCCCTGATTAACAACTAGCCTTTGTGATATGTCTTAATCTCCTAGCGACTTTGCTCCTGCTCGATCTCGATCTTACTTGGTCACCGTGTCATGATGCCTTAGTGGTTCTAAGGTATGGATCTTAATCCCGCTTTTACCTATGTTTTACTTGCTCATGCCTCGATCTTGCTATCATAATGTTAACTCTGATCATTCAGTCTCTGCCTATTTGTTCTGGTGGTTTTTTTATTCTTTAAATGTTCTAGTTTTATTTACGAGTATTGTTCCTTGCTGGCATACTATTCTTTGATTCTATTTTTGATTTTGTTGTGATTCATGTGGTTCAAAAACAATATACGGGTTTGTGTTCTTGCTCTGGGATTTTATTTTTCATTTTGAATGTGTGATTCATGCCTTTGTTTATAATTTGTGATTTATAACTAAGATGATGAAGATCTTGATTTATTGAATTTTTTAATTTTAAAATATTTTAATTAATGTATATTATTATAATTATAAATTTTATTTTATTTTTCCAAAATGGGCTCATGGGCTCGACTCTGAAACCTTAAAATAAGAATCATGCTTTAAAAAATGAAGAATTTTTGGAGAATCAGGCTTAAAAGTTGGAACCCATGAAGGTCAAGCCCATATGGTCAAGTCCACCAATTTTCTAGCATTATGGATAAGTATTGAATTTTTTTTAAATTTAAAAATAACATTTTTATACTTTACAAACATAATACTGATATAGATATGTGAAACAATTTAAAGTATCAAAACTTTATAGGTGTTGGGCCCATTCACATAAAAGAAGATTCAAAAAATTTCAACAACATATGAAATTCAAAAGAAATTATTAAATAAATAAGAAAATAAAATACTAGACACGAAAAAAAAAAATAATGGTAATTTCCCATAATAATTTATTATATATTAATTAATAATTAGTATATCAATTGCAACTCCTTAAATGTGTTTTACAAGTAAAATGCATGAAGAATTATCCTACTGTTATAATTCTAATTAAAAAATTTTTTGGTCAAAACATTTAAAAAAAACTAAAATGCAATATACGTAAATTTTCCATCTTCAAATTTAACCAGTGATCATAGCAAAGCTATTTCCACCTCTTTTAGTTGAAATATATGTTTATATTTAATATTTAACTATAATAAAAGTTTGTTCAGTCAGAAAAGATTAAATATTCTTTGAACTTTAAAATATATAAAATTTTAATGAAAGTGAGGACTGGACTTATCAAGACTTTTTGTTATTAAAAAAAAAGAAAAACCCTCGACTGCTGTTTTAAGTAGAGCTGGGAATACAGGCGGACCCAACCCTTAAGGACTTAGCTCTTATGGGCTCGGTCCTTAAGGGCTTGAGCCCTAAAACCCGATTTTTTATTTTAAACCTTATTTTTCAAGCCTGACCCTTATGTGAAGGGTTCAAGGCCGGGCCCGCAAACCCTTTTTTGAAAAAATAAAAATAATAAAAATAAAATTAAATATTATAAATTAATTAAAATATTCTAAAATTAAAAAAAATAAAATTCTTATAAGTTTTTAAAAATTAAATAACACACTTTTAGAAGTCTAACAATAAAATTCAAATCTTGGTTAAAAACCAATTCATTTTTTACAAATACACAAACATAATAATTATAGAAAAATAAAAAATATCAGGAATTTTATATTATACACTAATATTTATTAAATTATATTAAATTAATTTTAGAAAAAATTAAAATTAATAATAATATAATGTGTGTAGGATCAGATAAGCAGGTTATTAGTTTCAAACACGTGTTTCACCAAAAAAAAAAATAATAATAATATAACAAGGCTTGAAGGGCTACCCGAACCCAAGTCATTTTTTACAGGGTTTATTAGGGCTAAGTTCTTTAGTCCGATTATTTAAAAAAATTATTTTTAAAGTTCAAACTTTTATTTAAATAGAACTTTTAAACATGACTTTTTAAATTTAACCCTTATTTTAAGCAGCGTCTTCAGCTGAAGAATGCACGCGGACCGGGGGAAAAAAGGCCCGTTTCCGCATTTAATCCTTCTTCTACTGAATTGTTTTAAACGGCGGAAAATAAGCCCCACGAGGTGGCGTGGCTCGTCGCACCCACTATATGATATAAAATAAAATAATAAGAAAATAAGGATAGAATTACCTACCCGTCCCCGGCCTTTCCACTCACATTCTCCCATGGTATAGTGGCATATACAGCCGTAAATTCGAGCATGTTAGTGGCCAAATGTTCAACGATTCCCACCCACGCAATACTAGTTTCCGTTTTTGCCATCTTCACCGTCAATCTCGCCTCTCGCCCAATTCCTCCTCCTTCCTCATCCCTTCTTTCAGTTTCCCTTAATCGTCTCAATCTCTGTTTGCGAGTGTTTCTTTACCAAATTCTCCTTTGAAGCAAGGTTGTGCTAATTTTAGCGGTACGCAAACCTTGCCGAAATCACCCTCTCTCTCCCTCTCTCACGCACGCTCACTGTTGGACTGTACTTGGACCTTCCTCTTAATTTAGCGCTGTGCAATTATCAACCCCTTTATCTTTACTCTCACACACACTCTCTCTGACCCTTTTTTTCACTTTTTTCATTTCTCGGTGTCGCACTTTCTGTGCGCTAAATTTGATAGTTAATTCCGGTAGCGTCCTACCCAGATCTGAATCTGCTGGCTTTAGATCCATTCCTTTTTGAATTCGGCAATGGAGGAAGCGCTGGAACTTGCGCGCACCAAGGACACGAAGGAGAGAATGGCCGGGGTGGAGCGCCTTCACCAACTTCTGGAATCTTCGAGAAAGAGCCTCACTTCATCCGAAGTTACTTCCCTTGTCGATTGTTGCTTGGATCTCTTGAAAGACAACAACTTTCGGGTCTCTCAGGGTGCACTTCAATCTTTGGCCTCTGCTGCTGTGCTCTCTGGCGAGCATTTCAAACTTCACTTCAATGCGCTTGTTCCTGCCGTCGTTGATCGCTTAGGGGATTCCAAGCAACCAGTTCGTGACGCTGCCAGAAGACTCTTGCTTACTCTCATGGAGGTACTTATCTTTGATGTCTTATCGTGGCCTCTTGCTCATCCTTCTCTATCACTCGATGTTTCGATAATTCTAGTTGAACTCGAAGTCTGTGGCAACACCTAGAGTGGGGAACTGGAAGTATCTACTGCAATTGAATAATATATGTATTTGATGGATTTGCGAAACTTCCCCCCAGTTTTTTAATTCCAAATGAGGAAGAATGTTAAGTTGGATCATCATACATCTTATGTTAGTTTACGCGTCCTTGTTCCTGTAGCAGTGAAGTTTCTACTCCTATATGAGTCCAAAGAATTTATCAAAAGTAAGAGAGCTAGCAAAGGTAAATATAGCAAAGTAGAGAATCCACGCGAAAATAAGAGAGATATAGAAGAAATACTAGATCCTATTCTGCAGTCGTCCGTAATATTAAGTGACGTGAATTTAAAAAAGATTAATGAAAAAGTTAGAGCAACAGTAAAGCTTTGAGTGCATGGAAAGGAAGCTCAGTGACATCAAAATCCAAACAATTGATACAGAAAGGTTCTAGTTTTCAATGTTTGATTCATATGTATTGTCAATCTTCTGACCAGCCAAAATGTCCTTCTCTGGAGAGTAAAAACTGTCACTAGTGTTGGCTGCCGCTTGCTTGGCTATAGGTTTAGCTGCTTTTTAATGACTCTTGTGAGACATCCTAGATTTTTTTTTATCGGAATTGTGACCTTGATCATAAGATCTCTTCTGCGTTTGTCATGCAGTTATCAATTACATAGGGATGTTGCATTTACAGATTACTGCGGTAACAAAGATTTGTATATATTGTGAAATTGATGATCATGTACGCATATAGGAAAGTATTCTTTCACACGCAATCTATGCATAAGGATAGGTCTATAAAAAGTTGATCCGGCAGCTATTTGAGTTGATTGTTGCTGAGTATATATTATTGAGGATTGAGAAAATAGGGAGATTCTGTCCTTGTTTCCTTGCAGTTGATTTGCTTCATTTTATACATCGGTTAAGATAGGGGAGTCCGGAATCTTGATTTCTTGCTAATGTTATTTTCTGTTCCTTACTTTTTCTTCTAATTGGGCTGGTGTTTCTTCTAGATATACTACTCAAAGGTCTTCTGTGGTCAAATCCTTTGTATGAGGAGCATCACTTGACATGATTAACGCAAATGCCTGTTGGTTTGCAGGGCTTATGCAGCACTTTCTCCTTACATGTGTGTCCTGTTAGATCTGATTCAGGAACTGTTTCACTTTATTTCTACATTATTTAGCACCGTCTGACCTTTTGGAATAACCTGTTTGGTGATTGTGGTGGAAATTGGGTTTTCCCTAGTACAATAGTGTTCTGGAGCTGTTTGTGTTTCATTTCAAAGGCTTTGGTAATAAGGAGAACACAGTGGATTCTGTTTATGGATTCTGTTTAGTGGCATGAACTGTATTGGATTTATGGCTTCCATCTGGTGCTCTGTGCTTGGGGTAGTATGGGAGCGTCTCTATTTCTAATATGTAGATTGGTCAGCTTTATTACCTCACAAGCTGTTGAGGTCTTGCTTTTCTTTTTTTGCTGTGGTTCTCTTATCTTCCAGCAGTGTGTATTTTCTTCTCTGTGTAATAAAATTTCCTCGTTTATCCTTTAACGAAATACTTTGGGAAATATGTTAATTGACCTATACCCATTTACATTTCATCCTCCTCCTCTTCCTCCTTGTTTTTTTGTTAAAGTATAAAGTTAAGCTGATTTCATAGCACGATTAATCATGCTATGTTCTTGGCACCACTTGATTTTCTTATATTGTGAGACGTTCACTTTATTGTTTTACAGGTTTCTTCTCCCACAATAATTGTTGAAAGAGCAGGTTCCTTTGCCTGGACGCATAAAAGCTGGAGAGTCAGAGAGGAGTTTGCACGGACTGTCACTTCTGCAATTGGTCTATTTGCATCCACTGAGCTTACTCTTCAACGGGCTATTCTTCCTCCAGTATATTCATTGAAACTTACTGCGAAGCATCACATAGCCTTTACAGGGTTAGATGTTTTAGGATGTGATACTAACCCTTTTCAATTTGACTTGCCAGATTTTGCAGTTGCTCAATGATCCAAACCCTGGTGTTAGGGAAGCAGCTATTTTGTGCATTGAGGTGTCTATAACATCTTGTAGTCTTATTTTTAGCGTTCAAAACACTCGCTATAGAACTTGGCTGTATTTTTAGGTTTATGACAATAGGCGGAGAAAATTTTGGCTTGTGTTATATCATTTAGTATTCAGTAGTGGATTTGAGTTTCTTAATCTAATTTTACTGTTGATGTGCTCTAGTTCCTTTGAAACGTGAAGATTTTCTACTTTCATCAAATTTATTCAATCATGTGTATGGATTTATGATTGAATTACTTAATTGATAGGATATCATGATGCAATTAAAAAAAGTTGATTTACAGATCTGCTCATACCTGAAATGGTTTCTTGAAAATTTTAAATTAATTTAAGATTTTCCTTTTTCAGGAGATGTATGCTCAAGCTGGACCTCAATTTCGTGATGAACTTCAGCGTCACAATCTTCCATCATCTATGGTAAATATCAAAGAAAAAACTACTTTCTATTTCATTGTTATTTCTTATACAATCATGGCATGCGATTTTGATCTTTGAGGTCCTTTCACATTATTAAGTCAACTACTGTGAGAGATTTTATTATTCCAATTCTTTTGCATCACGATGGTTTTAGGTTAAAGATATTAATGCCAGGCTTGAGGGAATTCAACCAAAAGTTCGCTCTTCAGATGGTGGAAGTGGTTTTATAGCTGGGGAACTTAAGCCTTTGGGTGTTAACCCCAAGAAGAGTAGTCCAAAGGCTAAAAGTTCATCAAGGGAGACATCACTTTTTGGAGGTTAGAATATTTGCAGTCTTTGGATTGTAGGGCTTACCTGATTTAGTATTAATGCAATTTTTATTCGATGATCTTATCTTAGCCGTATGTTTTTTCCAATTTTTGTCCCCCTCCTGGTCTTTAAATGCTCAATGATCTCTTTAATCATATCTATACCTTATTTGTCATGTATGCACGTGAGATAATCTGCTGTTGACTGCAAACTGCTTGATTGCATGGTTAAGATGGACATTTATGTTTGGCATCACTGATAGGTTGAATTTTGTAGTTTGATTTCCTTTTTGTCATATTATTTGTTTGAGCATGCCTAATCAGATCTTTAGGTTTTCTTATGTATGGGGAATACATTTCCAATTAAATCTAGCTATGGAATGATGATTGTCCTGTTATTTTGTTTCAAGCGGTGTCTTTTTTTTTGGGATGTTGTTGTAGCTAGCATCTGTATTTCGATACTGGGATGAATCCACAAGTTTTGCCTGAATAAACATTGTGAATTAATCTTGATTCCACTGTGGTCATAGGATTCGACTAGCTTTTGACTCTAGGTTTCTTAATGGTTGATGCTCTGCCTTTCTTCCATGAACAACATTAAAATTGCGACATCATGCAAGTGCAAACTACACATTCTGGACAAAATGAAATGATTTTGACAGTGGCAGAGTGATGCAAGGGGAAACACACGATATGTTTTAAAACTATTAAAAAAAGATTTATGCCTGAAAATGTTTTCCAGTCAATATTTTGTACACATACAGAAGAATGCTTTCTGGCTCAACCATTTGTGTTTTTATACATGCCTTCTTTAAATGCTTAATTGTTTTCTCATTATAAGCAGGAGAAGGCGATCTCACAGAGAGATCCATTGATCCTGTCAAGGTTTATTCAGAAAAGGAGTTAATCAGGGAATTTGAAAAGATTGCATCAACCCTTGTGCCAGAAAAGGACTGGTCAATTCGAATTGGTGCCATGCAAAGAGTTGAAGGTCTTGTTTTGGGAGGTTGGTGTTACTCACCCTTTCAGGAGTATGTACATAGTTTGCATACGCTTGAAATGTGAATATTTTGGAGCATAGTTACATATGCTTGAAATGTGAATATTTTTGGAGCCTATTGCACACTCAACTTTGTTTAGATGTGAATGGTGATACTGTAAAGGGCATTTTGAGTCTAAAAGAGCCAGATCATTTGTCGATGAAAAATACATGTGAATGAGATCAGTATGATGGATGCCTGTGATGTTCTTTTTGTGTAGTTGGACGAATTTGGTTTGAATATTTAATTGTAGGCCTTTAATTCAATACATAGTCATTGTACACTAAATTATGGCATGAAAGAATTGTGAAAATGAATGTCTTTGATAAATGATATAAAATGGAAATCCAAATGCTGGTAAAGCTGTAAATTATTGCCATTGAGCGTTAACCATCAATCATCGATTAATTCTGATAAATGAGTTTATTTGGCTATCAAAAGCAATAGTTGAACTGTTCAATCATCTGTGTCAATGCTATTGTAATTTTATCATCTACTAGAGTTCTCTGTTTTTCTTTTCTTTTACCTTTATCATTTTCCTTTAATGTTAATTATTTATGAAAAAACAGCTTTATTTTTTTCACTGTGATATGCACCGTATTTTTTTTTTTTTTTTGGTTTTTAGTCTGTGGTAACAATGCTGGACTTTTTTATTACTCCGTTAGGTGCTGCTGACTATCCATGTTTCCGGGGACTCTTGAAACAACTTGTTGGACCTTTAAGCGTGCAATTATCTGATCGAAGATCTAGCATTGTGAAACAGGTTCATGAACATTTCCTTTTCCCCCATTTTCCTTTCTATCCCTTTTACTTTCCCTATTTGTTTAATATATGCAAATGCTTTCATCCTCAAGATAAATGTAATTCTCATGAAATATTAACTCCCTCTTCCAAAAAATAATGAAGAAGAATGAACGTATGGCTTGATGAGCATTCAGAAAGTCTAAGTAAATTGTTGGTCGCAATTTCTTTTTCCTCTCTATGTTTCCATCTTTTTACAATTTTGGGCAGCTAAAATTAGAATCTTGTATAAAAAACGGTATGTTTATTTTTATTTATTCAAGTCCTAGGGCTTTGTCAATGTGGCAATCTCTTTAACTGCTCATACACCATTTTTCTGTTGGTATCTTTGCTTTGCTTTAGGCTTGCCATCTATTATGCTTTTTGTCCAAGGAACTCTTGGGTGATTTCGAACAATGTGCTGAAATGTTCATCCCGGTGAGCATAATGTTTTATCTTTGATTTTCATGATTGTGACATTTTCAGATAGTTTAATAATTCTTGGTATGATAACCAGGTCCTTTTCAAGCTGGTTGTGATTACTGTACTTGTGATTGCAGAGTCTGCGGATAACTGCATAAAAACGGTAATTTATATTTGCTCAAGTAATGTTATGCATAACTCTTTCAATGTGCTATATGTTATTTCACCTTTTCCCTCTACTTTTTAGATGCTGCGTAATTGTAAAGTTGCTCGTGTGCTTCCTCGTATGGCTGATTGTGCAAAAAATGATCGCAGTGCTGTACTTCGTGCAAGGTATTAACTATCATGTTTCTGGAATAAATTTGTGAGAGTTTTGATAATTCTTTTATGTCTTTTATATTGTAGGTGTTGTGAATATGCTCTTTTGATATTAGAACATTGGCCTGATGCTCCAGAAATACAGCGATTAGCTGATTTATATGAGGATCTGATAAAGTGTTGTGTATCAGATGCAATGAGTGAGGTACCCTTGATAGTCTTTGGCTGATTATGTTTCTTTAAGTATGAACCATTCATCGCGTTTACCTCATTCTTTGCTTATGAAGAATTCACATGCAAATTCCACGCTGCTTGATTGGCATTTTTGCTTTTTTTTTCTTAGCCTTTTTCCTCATAGCTAGACTGAATGTAGTAGCTACTGTGCAAGAGAAAGCAGGCTAGTGGATGCCTAGCAGTTGAAGTTGTGGGAAGTGATTCTCCTTGCATTTACTTACACTGTAGGCACAATTCTCTTACAATTTATGACATGATAAATTGCAAAAGCTGTACTGACATTTGAGAAATTCATCTACTAGTTGTGCATTTTTATAGTTCAACAACAACAACAACAACAACAACAAGCCTTTATCCCACTAGGTGGGGTCGGCTACATGGATTGCAAGACGCCATTGTGCTCTATCATTTATTAAGCTTTTAGAAATATTATTAATTAAGAGATCACGTTCAACAACTTCCAAGAGTATTCTCTTAGGCCTTCCTCTACCTCTCTTAATTAGACTCAAAGTTATATGTTTCACTCTTCTCACTGGTGCCTCCCTTGGTCTTCTTTGTACATGCCCAAACCAACTCAACCGATTTTCTACCATTTTTTCCTCAATAGGTGCCACCCTCACTTTTTCACGTATGTGCTCATTTCGAATTTTATCTTTACGTGTATGTCCGCACATCCATCGTAACATTCTCATCTCTGCTACTCCAACTTTATGCTCTTGCTGTCCCGTTAGAGCCCAGCATTCACTACTATATAACATTGCCGGTCTGATAGCAGTACGATAAAACTTTCCTTTAAGTTTATTAGGCACCTTACGGTCACAAATAATTCCTTTAGCTTTTCTCCAATTAAACCACCCAGCTTGAATTCTATGTGAAATATCTCCACTGATTTCGCCATCATTTTGAATAATAGCTCCCAAATATCTAAACTTTTCCACTTGAGGTATAATTTGATCTCTCAATTGCACTTCCAAATTATTTTCGAATAGTCCTTTACCAAATTTACAATATAAATATTCCGTCTTACTTCTACTCAGACGAAAACCTTTCGACTCCAATGTCCTCCTCCATAACTCAAGTTTGCAATTAACCTCTTCTCTTGTCTCTGCTATAAGAACTATATCATCTGCGAAGAGCATACATTTCGGGATTTCCTCTTGAATATGTTTCGTCAAAACATTTAAAATCAAGTTGAACAAATAAGGACTCAGAGATGATCCCTGATGTAGTCCAATCTTTATAGGAAAATCCTTTGTTTGACCACTAGGCGTTCTTATACTAGTTTTTATCCCCTCATATATATCTTGTATGGCTTTAATATAAGCAATCCGTACTCCCTTTTTTTCCAACGCTTTCCAAAGCACTTCTCTTGGTATACGGTCATAAGCTTTTTCCAAATCAATAAAAATCATGTGTAGATCTTTATCTTTACAACGATACTTTTTCATTAATCCCCTTAGTAGATAAATCGCCTCTGTAGTTGATCTACCTGGCATAAAACCAAATTGATTCTCAGAAATACTTGTCTCCAATCTCAACCTGTGCTCAATTACCTTCTCCCACAATTTCATTGTGTGGCTCATGAGTTTAATCCCTCTATAGTTAGTACAATTCTGAATATCTCCTTTATTTTTATAAATAGGAATTAATGTACTTCTCCTCCACTCATCAGGCATTTTCTTGGACCGTAAAATCACATTAAATAACTTAATTAACCATCTCACCCCTTCTTCACCTAAACATTTCCACGCTTCGATAGATATACAATCAGGTCCGTTAGCTCTACCATTTGCCATTTTCTTAAGAGCTTCCTTTACCTCCTTATCACGTATTTTTCGATAGAATGACAAATTTTGTTCTCCTTCACCAATTACTAAATCCTCCAAGTTACTAGATGAATCCTCTCCATCATTGAAAAGTTTAGAAAAATAAGTCTCCCATCTATTTTTAATTTCATCATTTGTAACTAAAATTCTTCCCTCTTCATCCTTAATACACCTTAACTGTTCTAGATCTCTTGATTTTCTTTCCCTACTCTTGGCAATCTTATAAATATTTTGCTCTCCTTCCTTCGTCTCAAGGTTCTTATAAAATTCTTCAAAAGCTTTGGAACGAGCTTCACCCACAGCTCTCTTAGTTTCCTTCTTAGCCATACGGTACCTCTCCCAATTTTCCTCATTGTTACACAAATGTATGTCTTTAAAACAGTTCTTCTTATACTTGATTTTGTCCTGTACACTATTATTCCACCACCAAGACTCCTTATCTCTCGGACCAGAACCTTTCGATTCTCCCAAAACTACTTTTGCAACCTCCCGTATCTTTTTAGCCATATCCTCCCATATGATGTTAGCACTTCCCTGAGAATCCCAAATTCCTTTATCTAAAAGATTTCGCTTGAAAATATCTTGCTTCTCACCTTTTAATTGCCACCACCTAATCCTTGGTGTTACTACTTGTCGACGTTTTTGGATTTTACTCATAATACACACATCAAGGACTAGGACCCTATGTTGTGTCGTTACAGCATCTCCAGGGATCACCTTACAATTTTTACAAAGTTTTCTATCTGTGTTCCTAACCAAAAGAAAATCAATCTGCGACCTTGAGGCTCCACTTTTGTAAGTGATGAGATGCTCATCTCTCTTCTTGAAACAAGTGTTGGCAATCTTAAAATCATACGCCAATGAGAAATCAAGAAGAGTTTGCCCTTCATTGTTTAGCTCTCCAAAACTAAAACCACCATGCACCCTCGCATACTGACCAGCTTCCCTCCCGACATGCCCATTAAAGTCTCCTCCAATAAAAATCTTTTCACTCTGTGGTATGTGTCGAATCAACCCCTCCAGATCCTCCCAAAATAATTCCTTAAGACTGGCTTCTGTCCCGACTTGCGGCGCATAAGCGCTAACAATATTAACAGTCTCACGTCCAATTATCATTTTTAAAGAAATAATTCTGTTTCCAATTCTGCTAACTTCTACAACGTTCTTCTTCCACTCCTTATCTATAATGATGCCTACTCCATTGCGTGCACTTACTTTTCCTGTATACCAAAGTTTGAAACCTTGAATATCCTTAGCTCCTTCTCCACGCCATTTTGTTTCTTGCAAGCAAAGGATATTGATTTTCCTTTGAATCATAACCCCTACAACCTCTACAGATTTACAATTTAATGTCCCAACATTCCAAGTACCAAATCTAATTTTGCTCTTATGGACTAACTTCTTTAGCCGCGTGCGTCCAGAATGACGCGGTAGCCCTTGCTCATTTAACACTACATCCGGGCGCCGATGCAGCGGCTCTAACTCACTTATCACTGTACTCGAGCCATGCAGCGCGTTACTTACGGGCAACGACCTAGCATTAACATTATAACGTCTATTGTCCATGTTCATGATAAATTCAACAAATTTTTACATTGGCTGTTGATGGCCTAACACAACCCTCCTCCTTTACCCGGGCTTGGGACCGGCTATAAACATAGGCGGAGTTGTGCATTTTTATAGTTCAGTTGTGAGAAATATTGAGAATATGAGATTCAAGTAGGGCCGGGAGAACTGTGACGTAGATTTGGGACACGGTAAATCAAGGGTAAGAATTCTTGGATTAAAGGGTTATTGCGTAGAAGTAGAATGATTTGGAAGCAAGAAGGCTTGGATCAAGGGGTTGGTTGGTGGCTGTTTAGACCTAAAGTCAGATTGAGTACCCCCCTCTCTCTGCGTCTGCATCTGCGTTTTATTTTGTTTTTTCAGTTTAACTTGGTTATTTTATTTTTCCGTTTGAACTTCCCCCCCACCTGTAGTTTAGGTTAATGAATTATGATCATTTACTTTTTATTTTTCCTCTTACTTTATCAAATTTAATTGGTCTTAAAACAGCAATTTGTTGGATTGTTTATTGGCATCAGTGTTCATAACTGACTACACAACTGCTGGCAATTATATGTGTGAAAATGACTGGAGTATGAAACTTGGTAGGTTCGATCAACTGCAAGGATGTGCTATAGAATGTTTGCAAAAACTTGGCCAGAGCGTTCCCGCCGCTTGTTTTCATCCTTTGATCCTGTCATTCAAAGGGTATGTGCTTATGACCTTAAAAGGCACAGCTCTAACTTTATTGCAGTGTTTAAATGACTTTTTCCTTAAATGCTGACTTGCAGTTGATAAATGAAGAGGATGGAGGAATACACAGGCGGCATGCCTCACCTTCCATTCGTGATAGAGGTGCATTGCCGTCATTAAGTAGTCAAGCCTCTGCTCCCTCAAGTCTACCTGGATATGGGACTTCTGCTATTGTTGCAATGGACAGAAGTTCTAGTTTATCATCTGGGGCATCTGTCTCCTCTGGTATTACTCAAGCAAAGTCGCTTGGTAAAGTTACAGAGCGCAGCTTGGAAAGTGTGCTGCATGCAAGCAAACAGAAGGTCACTGCTATTGAAAGTATGCTTAGAGGTTTGGATTTATCTGACAAGCATAATTCATCAGCCCTCCGCTCATCAAGTTTGGATCTAGGTACCAAATAAGTTTGTCTTGTAGATGATTTACGTTCTACTTAAATCTTTATTGCCTGTCATTCAGTGGTAATGGCATTAGTAGTACTAATGTTTAAACTATTTGTGAGTGGCTAATATTTTTTCCCCCTTATTGCCCCTAGCACAGGAGTTGACCCTCCATCATCTCGTGATCCACCATTCCCTGCTGCTGTCCCAGCATCTAATCACTTGACAACCTCTGTAACTGCAGAATCAACTGCTTCGGGTGTCAATAAAGGAACGAATCGAAATGGTGGTTTGGGTTTATCTGATATAATCACTCAAATTCAAGCTTCCAAAGATTCTGGCAAGTTATCATATCATAGTAATGTTGCTATGGAGCCTTTATCAGCACTCTCATCATACTCCAGTAAAAGGGCTTCTGAAAGGCTTCAAGGCAGAGGCTCTATTGATGACAACAGTGACATTAGGGAGGCTAAGCGGTTTATGAACCCCCACATTGATAGGCATTATATGGATGCGACTTATAGGGATGGAAACTTTAGGGATTCGCACAATAGTCATGTGCCTAATTTCCAGAGACCATTGTTGAGGAAAAATGTAGCGGGGCGAATGTCTGTTGGAAGGAGAAGAAGTTTTGATGACAGCCAACTATCCCTTGGAGAATCATCCAATTATACAGATGGACCAGCATCTCTTCATGAAGCCCTGAGTGAAGGACTTAGTTCCGGTTCTGATTGGTCTGCTAGGGTTGCTGCTTTTAATTATCTTCACTCATTGTTACAGCAAGGTCCAAAGGGAATTCAAGAAGTAGTCCAGAATTTTGAGAAGGTAATGAAGCTTTTTTTCCAGCACTTGGATGATCCACACCATAAAGTTGCACAGGCTGCTCTTTCAACCCTTGCTGATATTATTCCAGCATGCCGAAAGCCTTTTGAGAGTTACATGGAAAGAATATTACCCCATGTGTTTTCTCGGTTAATTGACCCTAAAGAACTTGTTAGGCAACCAAGCTCAATGACTTTGGAAGTTGTGAGCAAGACTTACAGTGTAGATTCTCTCTTACCTGCATTGCTCCGCTCACTTGACGAACAGAGGTCTCCAAAAGCAAAATTGGCTGTTATTGAATATGCAATCAGCTCCTTTAACAAGCATGCAATGAATCCTGAAGGTGCTGCTAATACTGGGATCCTGAAATTATGGCTTGCCAAATTAGCACCACTGGCACATGACAAAAATACAAAGCTCAAAGAAGCAGCGATTACATGCATTATATCAGTGTATTCTCACTTTGATTCTACTGCAGTCCTGAATTTCATTCTTTGTTTGTCAGTTGAGGAGCAAAATGTGTTGAGGCGAGCTCTTAAACAATACACTCCTCGCATTGAAGTAGACTTGATAAACTTTCTACAGAACAAGAAAGATAGACAGCGATCTAAGTCTTCCTATGATCCATCTGATGTAGTTGGAACATCCTCAGAAGAGGGGTATGTTGGTGTTTCTAGGAAATCTCATTACCTTGGAAGGTATTCTGCTGGTTCCCTTGATAGCGACAGTGGTAGGAAGTGGAGTTCCCAAGACTCAACCTTTGTTAAAACCAGCCTTAGCCAAGCAGCTTCTGGTGAAACTCAGGAATTTTTGCATCAGAATCATGAGATTGATTTTACCAAGGGTAGTCATGGTCCAAAAACCAACGATCTTGCATCCGCAGTCAATCTGATAAGCCAAAATGTTGCCTCTCAAGCTAGTCAATTTGGGCATGTGGACAATACCATTAACTTTGAGGGTCTTTCAAATCCTGCAAACGGTCTGATGTCTGTAGAACATTCAAATGTCACTGAAAGCTTGGGAGATGATAAAGAACATCCTTCTGAATTGGACCATAACCATCACTTTGCTGAAGCTACGAATGTTAACCCTTTGACCGAGACCGGCCCCAGCATTCCTCAAATTCTTCATCTGGTGAGTTAATCCAGTTAACAGTTGGTTTTGCCCTTTAAAAAAAAAATTGTTCTAGAAAGATTCTATGAGATAGAGAGGGTGCAAGGAAGGAGAACAAAACATTCTTCAACCCTGAAAACTTCAAAGGATAGAGCAGAGAGTAAATTAATAAAGCTAATGCATTAAGAGGAAAAATAACACCTTTTAACCACGAGGAAGCTGAGAGCTTGAGTCTCTGTCCTGCTGGAGATATAGGTGAAGTCACTTAAAAACTGTAGTGCACAGATCCTTATAACTTTTCTGTCCTGACCTTTTCCAAGACCTTGATAATGAGTGATAACAGAATCAAAGGAAGTGGGACAAACCCAGAGCATTCTCATAAAGGCGTGTAACTTGTGGAAGCTGCCAAGCACTTCACTATGTAAAAACTAACGGCTTCTAGATTTTGAACTTGAAAAACTTGTGTCACCAATGTCAAATGTCAGGACAGAAAGCTTTGTTGCATATCATTCTTTTTACTTCATTTTAATAATTATATATTTATATTCTTCATGATCGGGCAAGTGATCATATGTAGCAATTGTCTTGTAATAGGTAGGCAGTGGGGGTGATGGAAGCTCTGTTTCAAGCAAGAGGACTGCACTTCAACAGTTGGTTGAAGCTTCTAGGGCAAATGATCATTCTATTTGGACTAAGGTATATTTGGTTTCATGTTGATCATCTCTCCTGCCTCTATCATATGATTATTTGGTTCTTAATAGGTGAAAACTGTTTTGGAATGGTAGCACCCGTTCATTATAATGGTGCAAGTGTGGTTTCTTACGAGCATGCCAAACTTTTGTATTTGCTAGTTGATATATCTTTGCTTGGTGCTAAATATTTGTATAAAAACTAGAAATGCTGTTTTATTCTTCAACTTTAGACATCATGCTTCCATACTGAAATCTCGTCAAATTTCTGTGTCTTCTGCATTTGGGTGCCTCCAATGCTTTAGTTCCTTCTGATTGATTTGAAATTGAAGATGTATATCTGTAAAACCAGTTACTTGAATGCAAGCAAGTTGAAAATGAGTTTAGCATACAGATATAATTATTGAAATAAGAAACCTGTATTCAAATACTTTATACTAAATTTGGGTTTCTTTACCTTGCATAATGATAGTTTCATGATGAACTTGCAGTACTTCAATCAGATTTTGACAGTTGTGCTTGAGGTGCTGGATGATTCAGATTCCTCAATCAGAGATCATACTCTGTCATTAATAGATGAAATGCTCAGAAACCAGGTTCTTATTACTTGCCCCATCTATTTGGATTATAGCCTTGCTCAATCCTAGGCATTTTTGGGACTGACATTAATGAATGTGGGGTTGGTTTTTTCCATTGTGTCGTTTCCAGAAAGATGCCATGGAAGATTCAGTCGAGATTGTAATTGAGAAGTTGCTTCATGTTACTAAGGATATTGATCCCAAGGTAAGTGAATTTATTCTGTTTTACATATTCTGTTGTATGCTCTCTGTTTTCCAGTCTCAATCTATTTCATCCCTTGTTCAGGTCTCTAACACAGCAGAGCACTGCCTGACTATTGTTTTATCTCAATACGATCCATTCAGATGCTTGAGTGTAAGTATTTCTTAATTTACCATCATACCGTCTTTGTTACTGGTAATGTAGTTGAGGAAAATAAAACAAAGGGTTGGGGGAAGAATGGGGTTCTTTTGTTGATGTAGAAGCTGATACTCAGAATTCCCAATGTTTCAGGTTATTGTCCCTTTACTGGTTTCTGAGGATGAGAAAACTCTTGTCACCTGCATAAACTGCTTGACAAAGGTAATTGAGTGGAAAGACTTTTTGTCGGTTGTGTTGGGTGATGGTTCCTATGAACCATCTTTGAACCTACCTCTGCCTTTTAATATTCCTTTCTGTTCAAACAAGCGACCCTTTGTGGTATGAGTTAGATTCGCTTTATTATTTTTATTTCATAACATTCTTTCCTTCAGGTTTTGGGCCGACTCTCTCAGGAGGAATTGATGGCTCAGTTGCCTTCATTTCTGCCTGCACTTTTTGAAGCTTTTGGAAACCAGAGTGCTGATGTTCGTAAGGTACATGGGTCTATTTTCTGTGGCATTCTAATTATGGCGCTCTACGTTATACATCTTAATTTATACACATGCTATTTTATTATATATGCGCATATTTTTGTATATCTGTATATGTATTTTGCTTCGGCCATTATTCTCATTCTATGGTGATGGCGGGTGGTACAGACTGTGGTTTTCTGTCTAGTGGATATATACATCATGCTGGGGAAAGCATTCTTGCCATACTTGCAGGGGCTTAACAGCACACAGTTGAAGTTGGTCACCATTTATGCAAATCGAATTTCACAAGCCAGGACGGGAGTGGTGATTGATGCCACCCAGGAGTAGTTGGTTCCTTGAAGAACTTGGTGGGTTTGGGTTTGTATTCTGATTCATTATTGTGTATTTTGTATATTGCGTGCATAATTTTTTTTTGAGGTGGTTTTCCCTGTATCCTCCCTCAGCTTGATATAAATATATATTATTTATATAAATATATATTTTTCACCATGGATCTGTTGAGTGCTGCTGGTGGAGGATGCAGCGCGTAAATTGTATTAAAATGGTTTTGGCCCTTTGGTGATTGATAGGTTGATAGTTTTTGCAATTATTTGGAATTTTTTTTTTTTTAATTTAGTTTTCTACCTGTAATTTTTTTTGGGGTTCAGATGATGGACGTTGTGTTGTGTCTTGTGTTGAAAATATAAAGGATGTTCGTAATTTGTATCTGCCTCCCTAGATAATTGCTTGCCATTATTGCGTTTCCTTTTTTTTTTTAGCAGGGCCATAATTGTATTTTCAATTTGGTTGCTCTTGCCTGAAAGGCACCCATACCAAACCACTGGTATCGTGTGTCGCACTTTCCATTTGATTTTGTTTTTGCTCGAATCTTTTCTAAATGACACGGGAAAATATATTAAGCGTTTAAATTTATGTTAAAATTTCGAATTACGGGGACTTCAAAATTCAAATTGTTTGCTAGCATTGGAGGATCAGTTTTATTTTGTGAATAGTTGGAATTGCCTTACCTATGTTTCTTCATAATTATTATTTAAGCTTTTCTTGATTTACAATTAATATTTAAAGCTATTAAGCTCCTCCCGTCCCTAAATATAATGCCTAGTTGTTAAAGTTATTGATGCCAATGAAGTTAATTGTGTTCTAGTATGATGATAAAATAATGGGAAAATTAGTGAAAAAGACCTGATTAAAAGGAAAATTTTGCCTAAAGACCAAATAAAATTTAAGAATCAAATTCGTTATAATATTTAGACGAGGATGGGATGAATTTGCTAAAATGCCTTCCACCTGTTCAACATTGCTCCTCATTTGCCTTTCGAGCTCTCGCCTCCGTTGTGGCCATCCTCATCACTCACTTCATCGTCTCTGCCGTCAGCTTACCATCGTCCACCCCACATGGCTTGCCTTCTCTCCCACCACCGTCTGACGCTGGATTTGTGATGAAGGGCCAAGGGCTAGGCGTCGGCGGCTTCAAACAAGTAGAGATCGGCGAAGGAGGTGGAGAACTTGCGATATGAATTGGCAGGATAAAGGGCTAAGGCTCGGCGGCAAAGGAACGGGGGTTTAAAAATAAAACTTTAATACCACGGCAGAAACCCTGAATCGGTGAACGGAGTTTTACAAATGATTACAGTTAAAGTGAGAGTAACTGGAAAACATCGAGGGATGAAGTGGAAAAGAGAGAATGGGACTAGCGACTAAGGTCGGGAGATCATGCATTCAAGGCGTTCACGACGGGTCTTGGAATCGCTACCATGTACCTCACTGCCACTTTCTCTGTCAATGTTTATCGAGGCCTTGCTTGGCACAATCCTCAGTCAGCACTTCATCTCTTTCTTCCTCTTTTTCTCCGATCTTTCTTTACTTCTGGCAGTGTCTGATTGCATAACTGTGACAGTTTCTTTTAATTTTCCAGTGATTATAAAATAGCCCGAACGTAGGGACGAGGATTGTGACAACTGCCCTGTATAATACTATAATCTAACAAGAGTAGTTTTAGACATTGGGCGCGTAGTGTAAAGAAGCTTTTAAGATTGCGATACGGAATGTTGATGCTTTTAAATTCAGGTTGATTGATGGACGTGATAATGCATGGAATAAATCCACTCAATTGTTTTTAATTCGAAAATGAATAAATGATCATTTCTATTCTTGTTGCAAAGGCCAAGTCTTCTGATTGAACTATGGAATAGAACCTTTAATGTTTTAATTCATGCAGGAAAGGCTTCGAAGCTTTTTGGTTGATAAATTTGTATCTAAGTTTGCTAAACTCTCCAAACACGTTCGTTGTTTTCTTGCTTGGTGGTGACATGCTACTTGCAAATATAAGGATCATTTTGCCGAGATATTGGCGTGCAATCGCCATGTTCAGAATTTTCCTTTTCGTTGGGACGGAGTTTTGTATGTTTGCTGAATATCACAATTCTTTAATGTTTGTAAATCTTCCTTTCCCTCCCTTTATTCTGGCCTATCCTCTTGTTTCCTTTTGCTCTTTTACATTTCTCAAACAAAACTTTCTTTCCGTTCTCCATTGCACTACTAGTTCAACTGAAACAGCAAAATTTCTTTTTGTTTCTTTTGGGAGAGATGGAGAATGTTTGACAAGTGACAACCAGAAGGTTTCTGTTTACACACAAAATATTATCTGCATGAGTTAGAGATCATTTGGTGGGATAATTTGTACTTTTTGTTTCAGATTTCATATCACAAGGGTTAGTAACAATAGTGTAGGTTGTGGATTTGGATTTCAAAGGCAAATTTATCTTCAGTTTGTTGTTTAAGTTTTAGATGAAGGGGCTAAATCAGCTGGTTCAATTGGAGTTTGAGATCTTAATCAGCTAGTTTAAGCAATTGACTTTTGAATTTAGGGACTCTATACATGGTTTGTTGCCGCCTTTCAGTTTATTCCATCCCCTAGCATGCTCTACTGAGCAAAGCCTTTTTTTTTTTCTGGAATGAAAGGACACGGACAATACTGTGCTAGGGTTACAAAAGTCAGGACACATCAAAGTCTAAGATGTTCTTACATCCTATAGGCAAAATGTTATAGATAGAGAGGTCATAGTGGTCATGCGAAGTTTCTCATGTGAACAAATCAGCACATTTGTTTGCCTTTTTGAAAACGTGGTCAAAAGTAATTATCCAGTTTCTCATAATAAGCTCCCTTATTTTCTTGATGGTTGCCATTAGAAGATGGCTTTCGGAGAAATTATGTCGAATAAGAGAGAGGGCTTTCATAGAGTCAGTGTATAAATTAATCTTGGTAAGATTAGCATTCCAACGAATTTGAAGGCCTTCTAAAATGCCTGATAATTCAGCTATAGTATAGGGTTGATAGTCAAGAAATTTTGAGAAACTAATAATTCAATTTCCTTTTTCATCGCGGATAACTCCACCACAAGTTGTAGCACCAAGAGAGTTAACTGAGTTTGCCTACACAAGCCTAACCCATCTTGCCTTCGGAGGATGCCATTTAGACTCGGATTTAAGTTTGTTGTTATTCAAAATATCCACTCTTGATAGAAGCCACATGTCATTTATGATTTGTTGGGTATGAGAAAAGGTGATATCTTTATCTTGATTGTTGTTTTCAAAATACATTCTCTTGCATCTCGCTTTTCATACGTTCCACCAGACATGAGCAAAGCCTTTGCATTTTCAAATTTTGTTTCCTATGGTAAGGATGTTGCCTAGAATGTTGTGTTTTACTTCGCTCTTGCTTCATCCAATTCCCTTTTTTTTATTTTCTGAAATTTGATACTGTGCTGTTATCATTTAAAATTGCCTAACCTTCCTTTTCTCATGTACGTTTCTCTTCCATTACTCAATTTTGGTTTTTTGTTGGGCAAAAGAGCAAAAATACTTAAGAAGTAATCAACTAGAAACATCCACCAGCTTAAAGGGAAAAAAAATTGAGTTTTCATTAAGGAATTAAATGCGCATTTGTGAAGATGAGAAAAAAATAAGTTCAAATAAAAAAATTTATATTCAACTCATGCAAATCGTGGCTCAAGTGACAAGAAAATGTTAATTAAAGGATTTCCTGAAAATTGGGTAAAAATGTGATTGTATTTTGAAGTATAATTATAATCATCTCCCTTACTATTACTATTACTATTATTATTATTATTATTACTATTATTATTATTATTGTTGTTATTATTATTATTATTATTATTATTATAGAGCATGATGTAATTTAACATGAGCATAATGTTCTTATCCCTCATGGTGTATATTTGTTTATATGGGTTGCCTTATGTTTTTATGATCTTTGTTTATCATTTTGATTGAACTTGATAGAAAATTAGACAAAACCTAATGGAATTAATGCTTTTTCATTAAAATTATAGTTGTTCATTCTCCCTCTTCATATTTACTTGTTTTTCATAGACAATTTAGTTGTCTTCCATATTACATTGTTAAATTCGCATCATTTATAGATTAATATTGCTTGCTATACAATATGTTACTTAAACAAGAAGGAATTTATTGTGAGTGTTACTAATATTTTATGACAACTATCAATATTTACATGTAATTGCAAATAATAAAATGATAATTATAGACAATTACATGTAATTATAACAAATATAGTGTATGCTCATGACAACAAGACTTCATAATAATTATAAACAATTATATGCAATTTGAACATACAGAGAGCATGTAAATTAGTATACAAAAATTTACATATAATATTCAACGGATTAAAAAAAAAACACACATGCGCACATAGAGATAGAATTCTATTATGATTACCCTTTTATTATATGTAAATGACTATAGATTACATGTAGTTTCACATATAAGAAAAATTTGCGAGTATGTCTAAGGATGATTTACATGTACTGTCTAATGAATTAAATATAAAAAAATGAAAAGCATACTACTATTAATGCCCCCAAGTTACATGTAAACGATTATAGATTACACATGATTCAATATATGAAGAGATTCATGAACATGCATGAGGAATATCTAATGAACTACATGTAATTCATGTTGGTATAACACATACCCTGCATCGTGTGCCTTAAGCTAAAACTTTTGTACTCTACACTAGATCCCTTATATCTAAGCCATGACCTTTGCACCATAAGCAAGACTCTTTACACTTAAGCCAGACCCCTTGCACCTAAGCCAGACCCCTTGCACTTTGCATTTTGCCCCCTAAGCCAAATCCTTTATAACCTAAACTAGACCCCTTGCATCATAAACCATACTCATTACACCTTTTAGTTATTGAGTTTACATATAATCTTTGATAATTAAATATAATTAAGGCATACTAATTTTTTTCGGTGACCTTTCATTAATCGGCTGGAGCTTTAACAAGCGCACCATCACTTGTTGGAGGAGGGGTTGAAGCTCCGGTGGCCAGATTTTGTCCCCTTTATTTATATTTTTTTTAACAATATGGAGGAGCATTTTGATCATTTACTTAAATTGTTTAATGAATAAAATATTAATATTGGTTCTTCAAGTACAAGTAGTCCTTGGGCACAATTTTAGTTTTTAGAGGGTATTTATTACCAATTTTCCCTAAAATAATTTAGTAGAGGTAGAGCAAAAGCCATTGACTAAGGGAAATATATTATAAAACATCCTATTATTTGGCAATGAAAAAACATCCTATTATTTCAATCATTATAATAGGGATGATGGTTTTAAAAATTGAGTATTAATTTAGGGACAGAGGAAGCTG